GCTAATTCCCATTGGGATGGTTATAGTCCCGACTAAGTGGGATATTTGTAGTCTATATAGACTACAAATATCCCACTGACCCGAAAGATGCCTCAGTCTTCCTCCCTCAACTTAAGAGATTTAAAAACTATGTGTTAACTAATCTTAAAAAAGTCAGCACTTCGCAGGCTAGGATATCTAATTTAGATTCCCACCCTCTGTCATATTACCACACACTAACTTTTCATAACCTTCCTCCGCTTCCCAAGGAAGCAGAAAATGAAATGAATCTTGCTATTTTTAATAGGTTAAGAAAACACATTTTCCAACACCACTTTGAGCAAGTCAAAACTGCCCAAACTGCTATTAATGAAGCAGTAGGCAAAATGAGAGAAGAGTTGCAACAACAGCTAGAAGATATAAAAAGCATCTTCAAAAACGACTACGCTGTGTTGGTAACAGCCCAAAACATTATCGATAGAAATCTTGCAGAGCTAGTTACCTTTATTAATGAATTAACCACACGAACTGCATTAGCAGTCGAAGGACCCAAGGTTACTAATCAACTCTTTAACCAAGGTTTTTCATTAATTTTTAAAATATTTACAACAAATATTAACAAAACTTTTCATTTAGGTACTGGGCAAGCGACAAGCAAACCCTCTACAAAAAGAAAAGAAAAAGCCAAAGCAACAGAAGATCCAAAAGAAAAACCCACCAAAAAAGAAGGAGGGAAAAAGGGTCTTAAACAAAAAAGCTCCCATCCAAAGGTAATTTTAGGAGTAAATAATATTTCTACAGTTAAATTACCAGATTTTGTTACAGAAGTACTTAGTCTAGGAGCTAACTTCCAAATTCCTTCAATCCCTACTAATAAGGAACAAGAAGAAAGTTGGAACCAAGTCTGGAGCCAAATCCAAGCCTCAGTTCACCAAAAAGGGGGGAAACACTTCGAGAAAAACCTCCAAGTAATTTTAGATAGCTATAAAACGTGCCTGTTGCCACGGGCTAATCATAAATATCAAAGAAATAATAAATATTCTAATATTTTGATATCTAAAATTAATAAGTGTTCTAAATTCCTCCTTGATAATAATTTAATCATCGTGGTAGCCGATAAAGGCTTTGGTCTAACTGTAGTAACTAAATCATGGTTTACAGAACAACTAACCAAACAAGCCAACTCTAAAAATTATGCTCCTCTAAATAATCCACTGAACCAAGAGCAAATTTTAGAAGAACTAGATAATATCATATCTATGTACGGCAAAAAACAACTGGAACAAAATAAAGCTAACATACTTAGTAATATTACAGCTGTTATCCCGGAAATGTACGTGCTACCAAAACTACATAAAAACCAACCTGCGAGGCGGAGTAATTGGAGGATTATTTGGTATGATCAATGGATTCGAGTATTGAGGAGGAGGAGGAGAAGGTAGGAGTGTTCGTGGAGATAAATTCAAAATTATGTAATTTGATATATAACTTATCATTGTGTATATCAAGCTCTCCCACAAGAGACACCTGAGAACCTACTTTAGCCTTTTTTGTTCTTTCATGCAGGTTTTTCTTTGATGTCTCGTGATATGCAATCACATTGAATTCCACCAGATTTAAAAATGACACACTGCCACTTACATACTGTGTAGTGTGCAAGGTGAATGTAGTAATACTGTTGCGCACTTGTGCAGTGGTTTTTATTACAGCCATGTGCAGATCCATGTACATGCATGTGGTATATAGGATGATTTGTGTGCAGAAACATGGCATTTGAAGGGGTTTATCTAATAATTTGGAACACGTGTGGTGAGTAAGCAGGCAAGGTATATATTAATTAATAATATAAAAATTGATTACTTACTGTGAGCATACCATCATGTAATGATGTAATCGTGCCAGCTAGTTCAAGTATGTCATCTTGTGCAAAAGGCATTGTTGCCCTCCAGTCTGTATTGTCTTTCAGTACATATACATTGAGTCGAATATGTATCACCTCGGATGCAAAATTTAAGAAAATGCCTTTAGCTTTAAAAAGCATATATTCCGGTCTGTTTTCCTCTTGGACTTGGAGGGGTCGAGTCAAAATAAACAAACATATTGGTTTATGTAAATGATATGTGTGAGGGGGAATTAAAAGAGCAAGCCTATTGTTGCTGAGTTTGATTTGGGATATAGCTCTGTGAACAACATGGATGGCCAGAAGAATAACATGTGGCCTTTTATATAAAAGATAATGGAAAGAGCTGAGATTCATTTCTTCGACAACAAAGATATCTGATATAGGCCTCTGGGGATTCATTTCTTTGACAACAAAGATATTGTTACAGTCAGCAATTGTTTGGTTGGGAGAGCCAATTAAAATCTTTAATGTAGGCGTGTTCACTGACCAGGGAGTTGGTAATTTTAGACTCAGCAGTTCACTGCCCTTACTCCAGTGATGTCATTTTGACTGAATGCTTCATCTACAAGTGACCTAATTTCTTTAATTTTTGTGTGCTTTTTCCCTCCCTATACGATGTACTTCCTGTACTCATATCCAGATAAGGGTAACTGTATGTAAATTATTAACAACTATAATTTATGACAGAATCAAAGGGGAATATTTATTTCTATTTTTAAAATAGGGCAGTCTTTGATCCAGTGTATTGACTAGTCAGTTTCACTGGTGGAAGTCATATAGTTAGCAAAGGGTTTCCGCTATGCATATCTCTAGCAGCGTAATTGTATGCTAGTAATATTCCATCATTTGCCAGAAGTTTATACTTTGTAAATGACTAGCATAAACTGCAGAAATGTCAGTGGTTTGACAGAGGTAATTGATAGTA